TAAGTTCAAGTTGAAAACTTATTTAGAGTGTTTTTTTCTTACCCATTTTAAGGTATATATAAAAGTATATATTTTATTATTTATTTAATTTTATACATATATATATTTTATTAATAAAATTTTTACCTTAATTTAAGAAAATAATATTTTAAGGCCATTGTGGGTGTCAATGTGACACTCTCTACGGTCTTTTTTTTTTCATTTTTTATGTTTTTCCTTTTTATGTTTGTTTCCTTTTTTTCAATATTTTTGTTTTTGGTATTTATTTTTTTATTGGATAAATTTTATGAAAAAAATAAGTTCAATTAAAATATTTGTGTTATTTTCATTTTTTTTACTTTTTTTCCTTTTTCCTAAATTTTTTTATTTTTAATATTTAATTCCTAAGTTTTGAAATATTTTACCTTTTTAATGTGAGCCTCACTTTATATCAAGCTTTTTCTATTTCTTTTTTAGTTTTTCTTTATTTTTTTTCCTTTTTCAAGATTTTTAATTTATTTTTTAATTGTACTCACTTGATACTAAGAGTATAACATAATTTGTTTTTTCTATTATTTGTCATTTTTATGTATTTAATAAATATTTTTATAAATTTTAAATTCTTTTTTGTCTTCCCAACTTGATACCAAGAGTATGCTAGGAGTCAAGTTATTTTCTTCCATTTTTCTATTTTTCTATTTTATCATTTTTATATTTGCTTTTTTATCATTTTTAAATATTTATAATTTTTAAAAATATTTAACTTTTTTAATATGGGACCCATTTGATATTATTAATTAAAAAATATTTTTTCTTTATTCTTTTTTATTTGACAATTTTTTAGGAAAAGAATATTAACGAAAGTTTATCATTGCTAATGTTTCATGGTAAATCAACTTTCTTCCTTTTATTTTTTTATTTTTTTAATTAGATAATTTTATTGAAAAAGCCAATGGATGTGTATACGTGGCACTCTATTTCACTTTTTTTATCTTTTCATTTTTTATTTTTAATTTTTTTAATCAGATAGTTTGCAAAAAAAAAAAATGATAAATAATTTTTTTTAAAATATGTCAATAGAGATATGAATAACAAAATAACCCTATTAGATGGAATTCTTTTTGTCCTAATTTGATAGGTAAATTTTTTATTTGAGATCAAATCGATATTCTTTCTTAAAAATCAAGGTCGAGTCAGAAGCGAATTTACGTTGTTCCATCTTATCTTGACTCTCTCTCTATATATATATATATATATATATATATATGAAGTTATATTTTTAATTGTTTATTTAATTTTATATTTATATGTTTGTAATATATTAATAAATATATTATTTAATATTTTTATTTAATAAAATAATATATTTATCTATAATTAAAATATAATTCATCCATCCATCCATCCATTCATTATATAAATTTGACATATTTTAACTTTTGTTTGACACTTATTCAAGGTCTCAACATGTTACTTTTTTTTCCTTATGTTTCAACGTTTTTTTTAACTTTTAATTTACATAAATTTTGTGAAAAAAACAAAAAAACTTATGTAAGTGTACGTGTCACGGACTTAAAGAAGAGTCTTGAATCTCACATCGAACATAATAGGAGGGTCACTAAGGTATAAAAGGGTCCACACCACTTTTTTTTTGTGAGGCACCTTTTGTAAGACAAAATTGTAAGACCAGAGGGATCAGAGCAGACAATACCTCACAATGGTGTGAACTATGACAGAAAGGCTAATCTGGGACGTTGGATGAGTCGATGCCTGGGTCCCGGAGTCGGGTGGGTTTGGAGCTTAAGTCTCGACCCGTGACAAGTGGTATCAAAGCCAGCCCTAAACTGTTCGATCCACGTCAAGCACCTCGAGGTAGGTAGGCAAGGTGGCCAGCCTTTGTGACGAGGGCATCACAAGGTTAGGTGGGAGAAAATGTCACAGACTTAAGGAAGAGTTCTGAATCCCATATCGAACATAATAGAATAGTCACTGGGGTATAAAAAGGTCTACACCACCTCTTCTTTGTGAGGCGTCTTTTGTAGGATAAAACCGTGAGACCAAGGGGACCAGAGCGGACAATACCTCACAAGGATGTGAACTGTGGTATGAAGGCTGATTTGAGACGTCGGATGAATGGATGCCTGAGTCCCGGAGCCGTGTGGGTTCGGAGTTTAAGTCTTGACCCGTGACATACGCATGGTACCCCAATTTGTTTTTCCCCAATTTGTTTTTTTTATATATATATATATTTTTATTAGATAAATTTGGCAATGAAAGATATTAATTAATAAAGATGAAAAAAAATAATTTGTATTCAACGAATTTCGATTCATCTCAATTGGATAAATTGTGATTTTTTAAATTATGATTAACTTGAGATGAATCTAATTTATTAAAAATAAATGAAGTCAGGTGTTTTGTCTTGATTCATTTTAAGGTATACAAAAGCATATATTTTATTATTTATTTAACTATATATATGTATTATATTAATAAAATTATTTTTATTTTAATTTAAAAAATTAATATTTTAAACTCAATGTGTCAATATGGCACCCAGTGTTAATTATTAATTTTTTTCATTTTACCTTTTTCATTTTTTTATTGGATAAATTTTATAAAAAGGGAAGCTTTATTTTTTTTTTCATTTTTTCTAGTTTTTTTTTCCATTTTAATTTTCTTTTTGTATTTTTATATTTGATAAATTTTATGAAAAAAAAAGAAAAAAGAGATCAAGTAAGGTGTTCAGCATCATTTCTCTTTTTTTTTTTTTTTACCTTTCATCTTTTTTTAATTAGATAAATTTTATAAAAATATTTAATTAATAAAAGTGACAAAATATTTTTGATCCACGGCTTGTTCGGATTTTTTTTAATATACATATGCAGTCAACTAAAAACTATCATTAATTAAGAGTAGCGTCTCTGAAAATTGCTTTCCTTGTGCTTAGCAGAGGTATGAAAAACAGTAAGTTTGGCCAAATTGATTGTTACAATGTGTTCATATTTAATTTCATTGAGAGAGGGGAGCTTACTTGATGGATCTGTTAAAGGTGAAACAATCAATTCTAAAAAGCCATAGATGACACCACTAAGTTTGAGTAAACAAATTAACCTAGGATACATTTCATGATACTTTTCTGATCTTTAAATGCAGCAAAAACTGTCATTGATCATGTTCATGGATGCCCGGTTGTACCAGGTTAAGATTTTTTTTATGTAGCCCTTTGAAAATACCGTGTAACTTCAGTCTGAAACTATAGTTGGTATGGAATCTTCCATGGAACAGCCAGTATTTTTATATTTATTCTTAGCTGTGGAGCAAAGGGAAGGCCGGGCCCTGATATCCAACCACTCCATTCTTTTGCTTTCTTTAGAGGGGCAATTATTCATGTCAAGACTTTAAAGTTTTCTGTTTCAAACAGAATACAATCACTAAGATAGTGAAGAACTGATCTAAAGAAGGTGAAGAAATTTATAAACATCTAGAACCAAACATTGCTGTTTCGACTTTTGTTTATTCTATAATTCTTTACTTTTAAGAGATTGAACTGTAGTCGAAGCTGACATTAAAGCCCTGGCACTATCAATAAATTATAGTTTCACGGTCAAAAGTAGTGAAAAAAAATAAATAAATAAAACTAAGTGGGGACTCCCTAGGACTGGAAAAATTAGTCTGTTTTATTTGAGTTGAATTTAATTAGCCTCAGGAGATTTTATTTCCATGCTACGATGCAATTCCTTTTGTTGAAACGAGTAGTATTATATCCCTTTTTAAAAAATATATGGAAAATAGTTTCATTTTTAGATCAAATTAATTTCCATTACTGAGTTTGGGGGCAAGTTCTTTGGGAATCAACATTCAAAATCTTAAAAAAGAAACTAGTTATTCATGTTATTACATGTAAAATGTTCAGAGGAAAAATGAAAATATAAAACATATTGAAAATTAAACGACCTTTCATGCCTTCTGGCTCAAAGTCCAGAGATGAAGAACCCTCACTTTTTTTTTTTTTTGAAGATGATAAGAAATCAGTCTTTCTCCTACAGTGGATGCAGACATACCACCAAACAATGACAAAATACAATAACCAAAATTGTCAATTATTAATAATTATGTTCTAGCTTGATGGGAGGATCTTTGCTAACACACGTACAAGGTTGTGACGCAAGTTTTCTTCTCATTAAAATTATGGATTCAAGAGCTCTGGATCCCATGATCCATGAATGACAAAAACATATCTTATAGTGTGAGACATTTAACTGTATTAGATCACAAAGAAGCTCAACAGAATTGTTGCGCAATCTCTCATGGGATATACTCTAATCAAATACTCTCACATTCTTAATGATTAATGTAAGAATACATTAATAATTGACCTTAATAAAGCTTTGATTTGAGGGGAAATGTGGGTTAAGGAAAAAAACAAAGCTTTTGGCCTACAACCTTTCAAGTCTACACAATCAGATAGACAAGCCAAAATGAGAAAAGACACAAAATTATTGTCCCCATATCAGTTTTCAAACCTCCTCCTTGTTTTAATAATTACTGAAATTTGAAATTTGCCAAAGCTTAATTTCAAATATTCAAAGACTACAACATGAAAATGAGTGAAGACTTGAATCTTTCAGCCATTCAAGGCTTAGCCACTAGCCAGTAGCTTTGGTAACGTGATTTATACATTCAATTAGTCTACCTAGCTAGTCTAATCATTTTCTTTAGATATCATCCAAACCTTGTTTGATTTTTCTTAAGTTGCCAGAGCTATTGGATACATGATACATCATCAATTTAATAACATCTGCAGGATCATGGAATGAAAGCAGAAAGCTGAAATAACGGAATAATATCTAAGATTCATTTCTCTCTTACTCGTACCATACTTAGCAATCATAAAAGACTAAGATTCCACAAATGTTGTCGATTCTTAAAAACCTTTAATTGGTATGCAATGTTTAACTCTAAATTGTGGTAGGCTGCTTTAGACGAGGGAAGAAGACCAACGAACTGGGCCCCACATATCCAACCACTCCGCACTAAAACAAGTCTTCCGCATTCAAGTAGTCAATTACATGCCTAGACTCTCCAACTTACTGTTTCGCACGGGGAAGAGTGCTAAATACTTGAAACTGAATTTTGAATTAGAGAAATGGAAGATAAGCAGAATTATGGGGAAATTGAAGGGAAACCTCTTGTTTCTATCTGTAGTATATTTGTTCTTAGAAAGTTCGATTGCAGTTGATACCATAACTCTAGCACACTCTATGAATGACACCCACACAATAGTTTCAGCAGGCCAGAAATTTGAACTAGGCTTCTTCAATAGTGGGAATTCCAGTGGTCGATATCTAGGAATATGGTACAAGAATCTTCCGGTTCGGACTGTTGTTTGGGTCGGAAACAGAGAATTCCCTCTCATAAATGCTTCTGGATTGTTGACACTTGGTGATGATGGAAGACTGGCCATTGTCGATGAATCAGGGAGCATTATCTGGTCTTCAAATTCATCCCGGACTGCTAAAAACCCAGTTGCGCAGCTGTTAGATACTGGAAATTTTGTTGTGAAAGATGCTGCAGATGGCAATGATGAGAACTTCATATGGCAGAGCTTTGACTATCCTTCGGATACATTGTTACCAGGTATGAAACTAGGTTGGAACAAGAAAACGGGTCTGAACCGAATTCTGACATCCTGGAAAAGCTCGGATGATCCTTCTCCTGGAGAATATACTTACAGCGTGGATCCTCGTGGACTTCCTCAACTTGTCCTTCGTAAGGGATCCACTGAGCAGTTCCGAAGTGGACCATGGTATGGAACACAATTTAGTGGCGTTCCAGTTTTGCAGGTAAACCCAGTTTTTACTCCAATATTTGTCTCCAATAATGATGAAGTGTATTATTCATATAACATAACAGCCAATATTCCATCAAGGTTTGTCTTAAGTCAATCTGGCTCGGTTCAGCACCTTTCCTGGAACGATCGCCACTCTAATTGGTATCTCATATTCACAGTTGCAGAAGATAGATGTGATAATTATGGCTTGTGTGGTAGTTATGGTATTTGCAACATTAACAAGACTCCCAATTGTGACTGCTTGAAGGGTTTTGAGCCCAAATTATCCAAAGATTGGGATGTTCTTGACTGGTCAGGTGGATGTGGACGACAGGATCCACATATATGCCAAGAAGGAGAAGGGTTTTTGAAATTTACAGGGTTGAAACTACCAGATGCATCTCAATTTAGGGTGAATGTAAGTATGACAATAGAAGATTGCCAGGCAGAGTGCCTGAAGAATTGTTCTTGCTCTGCTTATGCTAAATTTGACATTAGAGGCACAGGGAATGGCTGTGTAACCTGGTATGGAGACCTAATTGATATGAGAGAAGTTCCTGAATACGGACAAGATCTTTATGTAAGAATGGCAGCTTCTGCACTTGGTGAGAATTCTTTAGCTAAATCCTGAAATTCCTTTGCAACAAATAAACGCATTTGTATTGTCCTACTTTAGCTTTTGCTGAAGCAGGGATGTCTGGCCACGTTGATGTTCTTTTACTTCTTTAGTTCAATTATTATTTAGTAATTTTGATTCCTGCTCTTCGAAAGAAGTATTTCCTAAGCTTCTATTTTATTTTTGATTGTTAGATTCACATGCTGATACAAGCAACAAGAGGAAGAATGTGACAATTGCAACAACTATATCAGTGGCTTCAGCAATGATCATCTTGGCTTTGATTGGCTTGTTTGTGATTTGGAAGAAAAAGATTATTAGAGGTAAGCTTTGCTTGATCCTTGGCATTATCACACTTTTACTATTTTTATTAGTTCATTTTTGTTAACTTGTCCTTGTTCCTCTTAAAAGCTAGCCAGCCAGAAAATCAAGTGACCATCAGCATGGTTGAAAGTCAGAAGGACCTTGAACTTCCCTTAATTGAATTTGCTACTATTCAAGCTGCTACTAACAACTTTTCTGGTGCAAATAAGATTGGAGAAGGTGGATTTGGACCAGTATACAAGGTCGAAAACAGAAATCTATTGGCAGATTGATCTGGGAGGCATAATTATTTTAGAGTATTTCTTCTTCTCTCTTTTTTCCGCTACTGCTACTAAATAATATTTGATATAATTCATAGGGTGAGCTACAGTCCGGACAAGAAGTAGCAGTGAAGAGACTTGCAGAGAATTCTGGACAGGGCCTTCAAGAGTTCAAAAATGAGGTCATTTTGATCTCCAAACTTCAACATAGAAATCTGGTCAAGCTTCTAGGTTGTTGCATTGAAAGGGAAGAGAGAATGTTAATATATGAGTACATGCCAAATAGAAGTTTGGACTCCTTAATATTTGGTATCTCAACTTTCTATTCATTTCTCTGATATAATTTTTTTCTTTTATATATGAATTTAACTTCAGAATAAATTCAAACTACAGTTAGCTATCAGTATTAGGCCCTTTTCATTTCTACAATAAGACAATCAAACAATTGTGCAATGGGTGCAGATGAAGCAAGGCGACCTTCACTTGACTGGAGAAGGAGACATGACATCATTGTTGGCGTAGCTCGTGGCCTTCTTTATCTTCATAGAGACTCAAGACTGAGAATCATCCATAGGGATCTCAAGGCCAGTAATGTTCTGTTAGACAACGAGATGAATCCCAAAATTTCAGACTTCGGAATGGCTAGAACGTTCCATGGAGATCAAACAGAAGCAAATACAAAGAGAGTAGTTGGAACCTAGTAAGTTGACTGTATAAGGGTCTACCTGCATCAAGTGATAAGAGTTTGAATTTTAGAGCTGAAAACTATAATGTTGTATTTGCTGATGGATGCAGTGGTTATATGCCTCCAGAGTATGCAATAGATGGACACTTTTCTTTGAAATCCGATGTCTTCAGCTTTGGCGTCATATTGTTGGAGATGGTGAGTGGAAAGAAGAACCGGGGTTTTTTTCATCCTGACCACAAACTCAACCTTCTGGGGCATGTAAGTATATTACAGTATCAATTCTTATCTCTTCATTTTCTATAGAAATACTCTAACGCAGCAAGCACTTTGATAAAAAATTGAAAATTGATATCATTCAGGCCTGGAAATTGTGGAATGAGGGGAAGGCATTGGAATTAATGGATGAATTGATGGAACAAGATTTTCCTGAACGTGAAACACTAAGATTCATACAGGTGGGGCTCCTGTGTGTCCAGCAGAGGCCAGAAGACAGGCCAATGATGGAAACTGTGCTATTGATGTTCGATAGCGAGAGTATGTCATTAGCTGAACCTGGAAGACCTGGGTTTTATGCAGAAAGGTGTCTTTCGGAGACAGATTCATCGTCTCTTGGGAATCTAATTTCGAATGAGATGACTGTTACTTTATTAGAAGGCCGTTAGAAATCCAATGACATTTAATTTTTCTGTCATCGATGAGAAAACCTTATCAATATTCTCTCATGTAACAAGCTGATGAAATAATTTAAACTGTTTAACATTTGCTTTTGGAAAATTGAGAGTTCAAAGCCATTCCATATTATTAGACAAAACCAAAATGGGTAGGCTTGGGGTAAGCCTAAAGTAAGTCCAAATCTTATTATCACAACCACAAACCCAGATGAAAACTAAACTCCAGCTCTAGCTGCTTCCCAACCCAATAATAGCTCCAGGAACCAACCATGCTTTCCTTTTGGGTTGGCTTAAGAATCCCATAGTAAGAAACCCAATTGAAACCAAAGTTTGGGCTCCAATCATAGTTAAGGAATTCAAACCCTAATTTTGTTTTGGCCCAACCCAGCTCCCCACCATAAGGTTAGAAAGCAGTTTCTTATCGCGAAGAGCTCATAGAGAATCTTTGTCTTCGTTCTTGCTCTTGTGGAGAGGAGAGGAAAAATATGATGTGTTTGTTAATCTAAAATATGATATCATGATACAACAGAACACGATATAAATAAAAATTATGAAAATAATATATTCAAAATTTTAATAATGATTATATATGTATTTAAAAAAATAAAAAAAATATGTATTTTATATTTTTATGTTTACACGTTATGACATAATTTTTATATAAAATAAAATATAAATATATAAATTTTAATATTTTACACTATAAAAATACACGAATCGTCGTGTACATACCCACCGAGCCCCCAAGCTCTACATCTTAATTCTGAGAACTGATCCCCCTCCTTAATTCATGGGGAACTGTATTAAATAAAGTTCCACACGCAGAACATAAATTCTTCCTACTAGCTAAAAAAGCACACGGTAAGACTGAAAGGGTCAAGACTCAAGAATGTCTTCATTCATCATTGAAACTTTTAAGATGATATTTGCATCTAATTAAATTCAGTAACATCCATTACGGCATTCAATAAATAAATTTTTCAGCGAATGGCAGCTGTCTAAATTATTCCTACTTGTTGGCTGCTGCAAATACTGTTTCACTACTGCTGATTGTCTCTCACATATGCTTTGTTGTGTTTTTCATTAACTGTTGTTAGATGATTGTTAATTTAATTAGTTTTTATTTGTCGTTGATTAGGTAGTTGTTTGCTTAATTATATGATCTTTGTAATGCCTTAAATTCTGAGCTATTCCAGTTGTTTGCAATTTAAGCAGAAGAGAACTTTTGTCTGCACTTTTCTCACTCATCTCATTCTCTGTTTTTTGCTTTTGTTCTGTCGTTGGGCTTGACTCTTTTGCTTCTTATTTCCTAGTACAGTGTGATTATTTTCTAAGGTCTTAGGCGTTTAGTATAGTGATTCTAGCTTGAGAGAGATTTCATTTCTCCAACTGCAGCTTTACCTGCCATACTGGTTTCTGAATTAACCATGAATCCTGTGAAATGGCTCGTGAAAGCACTGCTTCTTCCCGGTTTTTTCACTTGTCCTTTTCTTTCGATAGCATAACACCACAGCACTCTATCAAGGATGGTGATGTTGTCGTTTCTAGCGGAAACAAGTTCGCCATAGGGTTCTTCAGCCCTGGCAATAACAAATATCGCTATGTTGGGATTTGGTATTACCAAATTCCGAAAAAAACAGTTGTGTGGGTCGCCAACAGAGAAATCCTATCAATGACACCTCTGGAACGCTCTCCATTAGCAGCCAAGGAAACCTCGTCCTCTACCAGAAAAACCAAACTATTCCTGTCTGGTCTACTAATGCCTCTGTTACGCACTCAAAGAATTCTGTAGCTCGGCTCTTGGATTCAGGAAACCTAGTTTTAATCCACAATGGTGCCACCTTTTGGCAAAGTTTTGATTATACTTCAAATACTGTACTTCCCTTTATGAAAATTGGATTGAATCTAAGTACTGGTTTAAATCGATTTGTGACGCCTCGGAAGTCCCCAGGTAACCCTGGAATTGGAAACTATACCTACAAGATAGATCCCAGTGGGTTCCCTCAGTTATGTTTGTACAAGGGTTTGGTTAAATTCTGGCGAGGTGGGGGTCATGGACGGGACGAAGATGGGTTGGAGTACCCGACATGACTCGTAGTCACATTTTCAATTATAGTTTTGTATATAATAATGAAGAAATTTTTATCATGGTTGGGATAAACAATGCCTCTATAATCTCAATGTTTGTCGCAAATGAGACGGGATTGCTGACAATGTTTACATGGAACCCTGAAGACTAACGCTGGGTTGCAATTTGGTCCGCCCCATAGGAGGAATGTAATTATTACGGGCCTTGAGGGCCAAATAGTAACTATGACCTAACTCAGGTAGACAAGGTTGAGTGCTCCTGTTTACCCGGATTCGAATCCAAGTCACCCCAAACTTGGTTCCTAAGGGATTGGTCAGCTGGGTGTGAACGAAAGCCTAATGCGTCAATCTGTTAACATGGAGAAGGGTTCGTGAAGGTGGCACGCGTAGAGTTGCCTCATACTTCTGTGGCTAATGCAGACATGAGTTTGGGGCTGAAAAAGTGCTAAGATAAGTGCTCGAGGAATTGCTCTTGCACGGCATATGCGAGTGCATTTTCTGAGCGTAATGGAGGGACTGGATGCTTGACCTGGCACGGGGATCTGGTGGATGTCAAGACCTATAGAGATGCAGGACAAGACATTTACGTACGGGTGGATGCCGTTGACTAACGCATCATCTCTGGCCAATTGCAGTTCTTTGTTTGCAACAAAATAATCTATTTTGTAGAACAATAGCTGATACTCAGCATTCACTTTCAACTCACTTATCTATCAGACACTTTGTTTCTCTTTAAAAAGTTCCTCAAAGTCATAGGTGGTTGGGTAATAAATTGTTAAAGCCATGAAAACAAGGTTTAGAATTGAGTAGGTAATCAATTATAATTTAGGCTGGTTTTTGGTATTAGAAATCCCTAGCAACATGATACAAATTATGGGTCATTCGTGGCAACGTTTAATTTTCAAGAATTTCAAATTGGACTTCTATCTTCCCCAGCTCAATTTATTGTTTTGGCTGCTTGAAAATTTATGTTTATGACTCTTTGGCTTCGTTGTTAGAATTGAGCTCTTTCTTTGATTAATTAATTCTCAATCTCCTCTTTATCATCACTTTGAAGGTTTAAGTAACAAAAAGAACTAATCACACCCTTTTAAATTCCAGAATGTGACTGTGCCATTACATTAAACTTTCTTGCCCGTAATTCAATTCTAAATGTTGATAATTGTCCTGGAAATAGAAGAATTACTTGATCTGATAAATGTTTTTGATATCTGGAATATTAATTAATTTGCATATATAACTCCATCTGTTAGCTAGCTATGAGAAGAATGGTACAATTAGCAAGAAGTAGATGGTGGCAATTTTTGTAGTTTCTGTTGTTGTGGTGCTTTCCATGATCGCCTTTGCATTTTTTTTGGTGAGGCGCATAAGAAGAGGCATCGAATTTTTTCTCTAGAATTTGTTTTAAGTTGCATTTTCCATTTGAATTTCTCACATATGCCTTTCAAGTCCTAAATGTTTCAGTCAAGTAGCTGCATATTAAGGCTCCATTTTGCACGTAGAAAACTTTTGAAATTATAAGAATTGAAGGGAAACCAAAAATGATTAAAAATGGAATATAAAAAATCATTTAATTGCTAAGAATACTATCTATCATGGCAAACATAGATTGAATTTCTGTTATATGTTTTTGTTTTTCTCCTTTCAAATATCCGTCAAATTTTCCGCAACTGTAACAAACGGTGGAATTTATAGACTAATTTTTTTTTCTCTAATTTTTTCTCACGTCTTAATCTTGACAAAAAATTATTGCACAACTATGTCGTTTAGAATACATTTGAAAACTTCACAAACCAAGCATTGATTTTTTTTTTTTTTATTGATACCATTAAGAAAAAGACGACCTCCACTTAGCTTGACAACAAGTCCAACACATTTGACCCTTTAAACGGAAAAAATGCAGTGTTGCCATTATTTAATTTGGGAATCATTGCTGCATCCACAAATAGTTTATATTCTAACAACAAACTGGGACAAGGTAGTTTTGACCCTGTTTATAAAGTAATCTGTCTTGCATTTACACCCTTCAAATGCTTTTATCTATGGCATTTTGTAACTTTTAGTTGTAAGGAAACAGCAAATGAACTGTGACAAGTTTCTTAAAAGGAAACAATCTTGATTATCTTTGGAATTATGTTTAATTCCAGGGTATACTAAATGGAAAGGAAATAGCGGTTAAACGGCTTTCAAAGTCCTCGGGACAGGGAATAGAAGAGTTTAAGAATGAAGTTACACTGATTGCTAAACTCCAAAACAGGACCCTTGTAAGGATTTTGGGTTGCTGCATAGAAAAAGAAGAGAAGATGCTGATCTCTTAATACTTGCCAAATAAGAGCTTGGATTCTTTTATTTTTGGTATGTATGCTCTTTTTCTCATGTATTCCTTTTCTAATCAAGTCATGTTGGATCTAATGAATTATACAACTTTGAATCTAGATGAACGAAAAAGATCACTCTTAGATTGGGGAAGTTAATTCAAAATTGTTACGAATAATTACTCAAATCTTATAGGAGATTTGTTTAAGATTTATTAGATATTGCTTAATGGATAAGAAGACTTGCAAAAGAAGAATTCTAAAAAAAAATGATTCTTAATAGGCAAATTTGACTTGCAGAAGAAGAATTTTAAAAGGAGAGAGATTTTTAATAGGCAAGTTTGTATGGTTATAAATAGATGAAGTCTTTGTAGGGTTAAGCATGATAAAAAGATGTAAGTGAGTTGTAGGGTTTTATGGGTAGACATCCCATAAGACTACTGAAGATTTACATCTTATGGGTATGTATGTTTATTTGTGAGTGGACTAAAGGAGACTGAGAGGGTCTACATAGGTATAATGTATGGGTGCATATAGGTATGTGTTTGGTTATCTTATGGGTATGTATGTTTGTTTGTGAGTGGACTAAAGGAGACTGAGAGGGTCTATATAGGTATGATGTATGTGTGCATATGGGTATGTGTTTGGTTGTGTTGAAATGGTACACATGAGTATGTGTTTATTTAGATTGAGAATACTCCATAAGACTAAAAGAGATTGAGAGAGTCTATAAGTATTGATTGTTAAGTAGTTGATATATTTTGATGTATGTTTGTAATTCTCTACAATTAGTGGATCTTATTTCTCATCCGTGGATGTAGGTCAGTTGGACTGAACCACATTAAATTATTATTTCTTATGTGATTGTTTGATCATTTGATTTCTCTTCCACTGGTATGATTGGATTGAGGCTTTTTAGCCCAACAAGTGGTATCAGAGCTATGGTGATCCCTAATAAATGATATCAAAGTTGTGGTATCTTTAACAAGT